TTTCAGTATTGAATTTATTTACGTAAAAAGAAAGATGGTTGCAGGATCTAGCATGGCATCAACACTGGGCTCAGTTCACTAATAAAGCACAGTTTTTGACTAATCAGCACGCACATACTATCCTAACTACAATCATAATAAAAAATATATAGAAGCTCGTAGAAGAAACAGATGAAAATAAATTCTGTATGTGGTATGACTGAGTATAATTATGTGACTACTTAGGCCTTTATTGTCTATGAGAGAAACGTTTGAATATCTGACACGATTGGAAATAATGTACAACTTAACAAAAGGTAAATAAAAACGCATAGAGCAAAAATTGAATAACGCAAACTTTTGTCTGCAATCTCGTTGTCCTTTTCCCAGATTTATVTCTGAAAAGGACCGAAGACTAGTCTCCTACACAGCCACTATTAGTGTCGTCACGCAATGCTCACTTCCCTAAGTAGGAGTGAGCATTGCATGACGACACTACTAGCGGCTAGGGAGGAGACTAACTGAAGACGTGACTAAATCAAATCTGACACAGGATATCTGACACTACCTTTACTTTCAATTGGTTCTACCTACAGGTAGAAGCAGATTAGTAGAYGTTAATCTGAAAATATTATGTTGCAAATAAAAGATCAAAGTAAAAATCTGGCAACAGCTACCAAGTCGAATCACTATAGTGCTATTCAATGTGAATCAAAGTTGTCTTTGACTTGTAAAATTTACATTTTTTAAACAGACATTTCATCTAAACAAAGACCTTYATCACTGTAACTGAAGACATATGCACACACAAGTTTTAAGGATCTTATAGTGCATGCAATGGTGCTAGAGTGTTAGGTAGAAAGGTTTCTGTATTATTTAGACCGAAATGTCTGTTTAAAAAATGTAAATTCCACAAGTCAGATAAATTTAAATCACAATAAATCATRAATCATGGTTGCAATTTTGAAATATTTAAACTACAGTATTATAGTGCTATAATAATTAATGCAATTTTGAAATATTTAGACAACAGTATTATAGTATTATTATAGTATAATGCACAACAGACTGACATTCTTATCAAATAGGCTAACCAGGTGGCAGCTAAGAAACTCCCATTATGTAAACTCAAAACTCTTTAGAGCATACATGTATAGCTTAACACGAAAAAGTGCTGTTAGCCCTTGGAGCCATTCAGAAAGCAGCACAAACAATAATARTCAACATATCTTTTTATCCCCACCAGAAAATGACGCTGGCTATCTAATTGTTTGCGTGTAACATCAGGGTCAAATTACAGTTCTTATGTAGTCTAGGTTTCTGATTGGCTYCACTACCCAAAATTGGAATGCATTGTTTTCATTCTACATTTTAATTGGTTCTCTTGTCTAACTGGTCAAAGTGGCCCCGGTTACAGTAATTGCACTGTAAGACTATCCAAAGATAAATATGTATTGTTTTTCATTCTACATTCTAATTGGTTCTCTTGTCTAACTGGTCAAAGTGGCCCCGGTTACAGTAATTGCACTACAAGACCATCCAAAGATAATTATATTACAAGGACAGCACTTTTTCATAKTAAGCATATATACATACTAGACAAATACATACATGTACTTCAGTATCATAAATATACTCCAATATCATATTTTGTAAACTGAAACACTAAAGTCTTAATTAGGTTGTAATCACTTTGCTAAGTTAAAGGGAAGAGTAAACTCACTTTCAAAATACTTATTACYTTAAGGATTCAAATTACTTACCTTTTCTGCATCTTGATGAAATATTCTGTACTGCAAGCACTGATCCAGTTTTCGTTTTCTTAAATTCCATAATTCACGTAACTTTTGTCTCTTTAGAATTAATCCCTCAATTAAACTTTTCACCTGTTGCTCTGCTTTCTTAAAATCCTCAGAAGTGAACCCTTCAACAAGATGTCCATTTGTTGGGTTTTTTACATTACTTAGTATTCTATCACCCTCCTCCTGTAGCACTTCTATTGGTGCCTTGACAATCCACTTCTTYAGATGGTGATTCTCCTTGATTTGTTCCTTTAAGCCATCTATTGTGTCTGAAAACTCATCCTTTGATAAGCCTTCTTGAATTTCCTCTAGTTTTGAAAGGAGAGCTGTGGCCTCAAAAAGAAATTTTTCCAGTACCTAAATAAACAGGGTTTTTTTTAGAAATAAAAGATTGCAAATCAAAAGGGGAAAATGGTGTAGATAATATAACTACAAATCAATTAAATACAGACTAAGGTAAAAATATCTAGAAGTTACTATAAATTCTTGGCTGGAAACTTGACAGATGAGCTATAGATGTTATTGATGTAGACAAGACATACCTTAAAGGGGTACTTTATCATAAAAATTGCTCAAAATTTAATTATGAAATAATTTTTAAGAAGCAATTTGTACAAGAATCAAAGTTAAATTTACTCAGTTAATCATATAAAATACCTTAAAGGGGTAAATACCTTTAAAAAATTGCTCAAATTTAATTAGGGAAAATGTTAAGGAAGCAATGTACACAAGAATCAAAGTGAAGTTTGTTCTCCTTTTAAAGTTAGATACTAGGCCTTTATCAAATATGAATTGCTGACATTATCAAAAATATATTGCTAGTAATTCTATTTTTGAGAAAACAGCCAGAGAARGGTTTCAACTGGAACCCTAAGTGAGAGATGTTCAAAAGGGGTCAAAATGGCCAAACTTTGAACACAGTGTGGGTAAAAATCAAACCATATAGTATATGATAAATTTGAACTTCGYACTTGATGTATATGAGAATATATATTAACTATATATCTGTACTGTGGTCCTAATGTAACTGATTGAGCTGATCCTTGATATGAAACCTTTTTTTTGTTCACTGGACTGAATGACAGAATAGGGAAAGCCAAAAGMCTGTTTACATATGCTAATAAAAGTAACCTTAATAGGGTGTTTATTTGTTTCCCGTGGGGTGGGGGCTACATGTGAAATTTGACCAGTTTTGCATGCTTCAAATTCCTTTTTAAAAGTTTGCTGAATTGTGATATCCCCTGGATAAATTGATTTTCAAGAAGCACACCTATCATTTTCTGTCAGAAGTGAGTCTACAAAGCTGAAACTTCACTAGGATCTGTAAGATTACTAGTCTTTAATAGTGTGTCAAAGTTTTGTTTGTTAAAGATGACAGAAGATGATGAAGTTTATGAGATGGGACTGAGACTAAACCCYGGTAGTGGATTTAGCAGCATTAGCTGCCTTTTTTGTTATCTTCCTTTGATCAACACTATAGACAGCATGCTATTTAACGATTGTTTAAAAATCACCCCAAAATGTACCTAAATCAAACCCAAATACACCAGTAGTGTTCAGAAAGAATATATCACATATTTCTATCATTTTTTTGAAGAATATATTYAAGCTATATGTGAATTTGGAGCAATGATTTAACTCAATAGGAAAAAGCTTTTAAAAGYGTCACAGGAAGCCCAACCAATACTCTGACACAAAATGGCAATCCTTTRCTTTTAGTCCAAAGAGTATGGAAGATATGAAAGAAAGATAAAAGGGCAAAACAACAGCACAGAAATGTTTATTGTACTACAAATGRACCAGAAAATGACTATGGTCTAGAAACTGATTAAAATAGAATGATGTCAAACTTACCAGCCGCATGTTGACCCAAGACGAATGGTCATAYTTCAGTGTTCCGCCCAAGTTCACAGTCAATTGACTTTGGTCAATAAACTTCGAGAGGCCATCAATTGAAATAAGATTGGTCTGAAGAATATAGTAGATTTATTTATCAGCTCACAATAATTTACATTTAGTACAGTGTCTGCAAGTTATGACTTGAAATTACACTTAATAAAACATTCAATACATTCAAGGTGTACAAAGATTATTTTAAACATAACTACATGAATGAAACTATRGTTATCTTTTTTATTAAATTATTAATAATGGTAATTGAAYTGCGTGAAGTGSAATTTGGTCTGAAATCAAACGAGCGATTACAAAATTGCATGACTTGCGGTGGGAGTGTATTTTGTCAATCACAAGTTTGATTTCAGACCAAAATTGCATGACACAAAGTTTAATTGCCACTTACGTAAATACAGTGCTAATCGAAAAACTGTGGGCAACTATAAATATTTTGAGAATCTTAGTGTTAGTGTTTTTCTTTCCATTATCTTGTGGTTAGGAAGTCAATTCTTATTAGCCAAAGAACAATAGAACATTCCTGAAATATTCCTAGGTGCCCAAGTTTTTTCGATTTGTATTATTGTAATTTATGAAATCTCCTGCAATAAAATAATAGGTTTAAAATTAAATTTTACTAAAATTCAGTCAAAAACTGTCTTTCACCTAAAAAATTCCCTTCCATTTTTTTTCTTTTTTACTTCTCTTTTCTGTAATCTGATTGACGATCAAAAYGTTATTTTTCTGCAATTTCATTGGCTCTTCAAGACACAGTGATTTGAAAGTCAAAATGGTGCTATTTGTGATTAAATCACAATGCTGGGAGGCTATCAGTTTGCATAAATCAGTGATTTCAAAATAAATGAAATGAATGAATAAATCAACTTTGTTTATAGAGGATGATACTTGACAATGGCAATTCAACTAATRAAGTCATGTTCTCTTTTAACGTTTGGTCCAACGGCCCCAAATTCTAGCGGCATTAGCATTTTGTAAGTTATTTTCTATTTATTTCAGCATCTCATAAATTAGGCAGTCCTGAGCTTCTAAGTACATTTTTTTAAGATGGTAWCATGGCTACCAGTTTTATTAAGGTGCTTTCCAATGGTCAAGCGACGATTTTCTTCAATGTAAATGCCAGCAGGTGTAGCCAATATAGTCTGCATCGCACAGATCACACCTAAGGATGGTGCCTACTAATTTGAGAATCAATTATTTTTTTAAATGACTAKYCTATGTGAATTGTTTTAACCTATCAAATGGTTGTTAAATTCTGGTTAAAAAAGTAGGGGTCACCATGCATTTAAGAGAAATAATAAAGCTTAAAAATCGTTAAAAAGTGATGATGTCATGATTTTACTAACAGGAGAAAAACAATTTCCAAAAGATTTCGATAAATTTCTATTTTAAATCATCCTAAATGACTGACACTTTGTTTCTTTACTAAAATATACAACTACTACCATGATTCTAATAGTTGGCTATGAAATATATATATATTCCTTAGCTTCATGCTCCCTATTTTTTCGATCAATAGATACAAAGAGATTGTGTCCATATTATTTTAAAACYCAATTATTTTTTATGAATTTCATTTCACTAAATTTGGCATTTACTTAATAATTTAAACAAAGAAAAAATTGAATTATCCAAGTGCTTTTAAAGATACAAATTCTTGAGGAATATTAGGGATAAATCTTATACCAAATGCGTGACAAGTTAGTTAATTGTTACACAMGCAGCATACAAAAGAGTGTGACAAACTCTGTTTTCAGTGTGTTTACACGTCAAGCTAAAACATACTGCTCCCCTGCCATATAAGCAAAAACCTGAGAAAAACTCGACATTATAAAGCTTTATAGTTAGAGGAGGACTATTGGGTTCGAAGTAAAGTTATTACTGACTTTTTATTTCACAGCAGAAAGTAATATCTGAAATATTTGGTACCTAGTAAGATATTTTTCTTAGTTTGAAAACTCCAAAGTAAAAGMCTTTCATGATGAAAGTGTTTAGCAATCCAAGAAAGATTTTCAAAACTATAATTACAAAACCTAGATAGTAATAAATGGTAAATTTTCAATTCCATATTGTATTTTTTGTTTTGTTTTTATTCTACTTTTATAGAGTTAAACCAAGAGAAATGGTAATGAGCTTCATTATTATTGAAAGGATTTGGTTTTTTAGAACTATGAGTCTGCCATTTCAAAACCTGAGCCCAAAAAACCTATGATTCTTTGTCAATAATACTTGAACCTTAGTAAATCTCCAAGTATCTCTTTAATGAGCCTGGGTTAATTAAAATTGTTTTTCTGCTGTAACTTTTATTGAAAATAAACGCTTTGTTCGTGCAATTTAAGAAATAAATTTTGAAATAAATAACATTCTGTTGACTAAGCAGCGGTGGTTTGGCTTCTKGTAACTTGACTTCTTCCTGGATTTTATGGCTCTTGTAGACTGGAAGTAGATAAAGGTTGAACCTTGCACTTAAGGAACTAAGCTGTCTCCTCACCATGTCTATTGACTTGTGKTCTTTAAACAGCAAGGGAAACAGATGGTCTTTGAGTCATAAGAAATTGATTGACGGAAGATAACCCTGAATTGTCATCTTAGAGTRAAATTGACAAATGGTGGAGCTGATGAGCTTTTCCAGGTATTTCAAAGCTTGAAAAATCTGTCTCA